TTCTCTTCTTCTGGCTCTTCCTCAGGAATCACTGTTATCACCTTGCAGTTTTTCATGGTGTATTTAGTTCCTTTCTTTTTATTTGCTAGTGCTTCTGCCTTCTGTTCTGGTGTCAACTTCACGACTGTTATATCTATACCGTTTTCGGCTATGTATTTCTCCATCTTCTTCTTCTCCAGATACCTATCTCTGGAAGCCCTTTTTTTCTCAACATACTCTTTGTCTTCACGTCTTTTATTATAATACAGCCTATTGTACAATGCCAGTTGTTCACGGATTTCCTCTATTGTCATATCTTCAGGTTTTGTCATTTCACTATTATTATATATAAATAATATTTCTTTAAGTGCTTTTTCTTAACACTATAATCTTATTTGATTTTCAATCAGTCTAAAAAAAGTCTTCAGAAAAATATATTTAAAGAAATATTTTTATTATAAAATTAATATATATTGTAATTTATGACCAAAGCTATACAGAGAAATATCACTGCTTTAGAAGCAGTGTACGACAATTACAAAAAACGCTTTAACAAAGCAACCAAGGAAAAAGTCAGAAACATCATAGACTTATATTCTGAACGCAAGATAGCTCAGTTTACAACAGCCGACAATTTAATAAGAAAATTTATCACATCCAAGACACCAAAGGACAAAGAAAAGGCAGAAAAGGAATACAATAAGATTTATGACAAACATAAGGATAAACCCAGTCTAGGCGAAAGAATGGAGGAAACAAAGAAAGAGAACAAGAGAACTGGAAGAACCAACCCTAGAAAAAAACATGACTATTCAATGATAGTGGCGTTTTTTAGATACAAATCGGAATCCAGCACACAGAAAACAGCATTTTATGACAAAGCAGGTAAGCCTTTAGTACCATTGATTACAGTAGAAGCTATAAGGCAAACAGCAAGCGTTAACACCACATCGTATGTTGAAAACCTTGTTGGTAGAAAAGTGTTTGGGGAGTACGACAAGAGGCTTTTCACAAAATTACTATTGGACTTACAAAGAGACCCGTCCATATTGGGAGTCATCGGCTTCGTGATAGATTATATAGATTGTGTTAAAGTATATGAAGTTGATAGGGTAGATGGTGATTCAGATTTTAATCCAAAGCACGAGAACCTTAGAGATGCGACTAATGTGAGCATGTATCATAATTATATTCAGACTCCTTTGAACCCAGAGTACGAGACACTAAAGGAAGCCATTAAAGTTGAACATTATCAAGACAACCTGTGCTGGATTAATACTTTAACGGATTATTATAAAAATACCCTTATGGGTGACAAGAAGAGAGAGAAGAACAAATTAACTAGAGAAAGTATTTTAAACCTCATAAATAAAACAGAAGATGATTTCACAACCAACGGTGCTAGTCTTGACGATATGACCAAGGTTTTTGAACACTATAATATTCAAGTTAGGGTATATGATGTTTTTAATAATCTGGTGTATCAGTACGACCCAGAGAAGCGCGACCATCACATACAAACACTGTATGCAATAATCAAGAACAACCACATTTACACGGTGAATGATAATTTAAGTTCCTTGAAGCAAATGTTACCAAAGAATTCCAATTATGACATTTACGTGAAGGCTTCGTCGGATTACCATTTAAATGAGAAGTCCACACCAGTTGAGTGTAAAATGATAGCATCTTTGGACGATATCAGAAAACACACAGAGGAAGACCAATATACCCTAATATATGACGGAAATGATTTAACGAAGTTGTTTTATGAATCCAAACAGGCAGGTTATGAACCACAGGTTAAGTTCAGTGGGTGCATCGTGTCTGAGTTGAATTTTCGTTTTTATATCAAGAAAAGACTCATCAAGTACAAGGTCAAAACGCAGAACCTTGTAACAAACTCCATTGATGGTTCTATCTGTGTTAGGACAGAGAATATTTATAATAGAATGTCTAAAGCAATGTACGATTTCAATAAAGCACTGTTTAACCCCTTGCATAAATCCTACTATAACGAGATAGACATACAAATCTTCCAGGAGTGTAAAACCGTAAACCCAGCAGGTGAGATAAATAAATATTATCATATATATTCTGTAAAGCGTCAAGAATTTGATAAATACTTTTTTACAACAGAGTCCTCCGTAGAGATAGATGTCCGAAAGGCATTCACACACGCATTTAATCAGATGACCGAGATACCAGTGTTTACTCAATTTGATGTGTGGAAGCCTTACAAGAAGGAATATAAAATAGAATCATTTCACCCACTGACCTTATACTTAGTTAAGAGTAATGGCGAGGCAATGTTTTTCAACAAAACCTATTGCTTAGTATACGGACAGTTTTTAAAGCATTTACATAAAAAATGCAAAATATTATATTATAAAGAACCTTCTAGAGTTTATACTGTTGACTACAAGAAGATTGTCAATAAACTGTGGGCTACCGAGATATCTGACAGAGCACCCGAGGACATTAGAACCAAAAAGTTAATTGCAAATGTCAACTTCGGTTTACTGGAAAAGAGTACAAATACATCATCTAAAAGTTATACCTTCAATGGTTTGAGGGAAGCATTATATTATCAAAAACTTGTCGGAGGTAGAATAAATAAATTATCTGTAGAAAAACCAGAATTAGTAGAAGATGATGAAGAAGAAGATGCATGGAAAACTGTATACACGGAATTAGAGGAGAAATATTACTGTCTGACTGTATCAGATAGAGCCACCTTAAGAAACGGATTTATATACATAAAGGAGCTATTATTACAATACCATAATTTTAAAATGTACCAAGATTATTTAAAACTAGTGGAGAATAATGTGGATGTCTGGAGTGTCAAAACCGATGCTTTTGTAATCAGAAGGGAACACCTAAGGAGAGCAAAGAAGGGGCTAGACTTTAACGAAGAGATAGGCGGATGGAGACACGAGAAGGGCAAACAGCCTTTAGAACCAAGGGGTAAATTAGAACAGAAGCCTAATGAATTAATACCCATACCAGTATACAAGAATGAGACCAGACATGTAAAAGATGAATGGGACACCGAGGCCATAGCAAAGGATATTATAAAACATAACCCTTTGATGATTAGAAGTAAATACGCTGGAGGAGGTAAAAGTCATATAGCCAAATATTTCAGTAAATTAGGATACAATACTTTGTTTGTAGTACCACAAAATAGCTTGTCTCAAAACATAGACGATGACGCGGTGACTACCAATAAGTTTTTTTCAGTACCTGTAGGCGATGGTGAGAAGTTGCCAGAGTTTGACCACAGTGACTACGATGTAGTGGTTTTTGATGAGATTTTTATGAATGGCTTACATATGCTCAATAGAATCAGACAGTTTGTTAATCAACATCCTAATAAGATAATTATAGGGGCTGGTGACACGAAGCAATTACCGCCCATAGAAGATTTAACTAATACCAGAAAACCAGATGAATATGCAGATGAGTGTATAAATCAGATATTTAAATATAATATTTTGTTAACAGTGTGTAAAAGATTAGGTGGTAAAGACGACCCTAAAGCAAATGAGAACAGACAAGTATTAAATAATATGTATGACGACATGTGGCTACATAAGCTTCCACTTGATGACTTCGTAAGGAAATATTTTAAAACAACAGACGATGTAACACAATCGCATAATAATATAGCTTATACAAACATGAGGTGTCTGTATGTGTCCAATCAGATACGAAAACACATAGGTAAGAAAAATAAGTATGAAGTGGGTGAGACACTGATATGTAGAGTCTACAAGAAGTTCGGAAGTAAAAGATTCAACGTTAACTATCGGTTTAGAATAGTGAGTATAAGCAGTAACACAGTGATACTGGAAAATGTTAAGTCAAAGGAACAGTATACAACGGATATGTTAACATTAGATAAGCATTTTAGATACGATTTTTGTACCACGTGCCATTCTGCACAAGGTGCTTCAATCACTGGTAAGATTATAATACACGAGTGGAATAAGAAACACTTGGTAACTCGTGAGTGGATATGGTGCGCTTTGACAAGAAGCACTGACTTTAATGATGTGTTATTTTATGAGAGTGAAACGGATAAAACAGAACTCACAGAAGAAAATCTAAACCGATACATAAACAACAAAATCAGAAACTACAAACTACAAGACGAAAAGGCTGGTAGAAAAATAAATTCAATAAAATATGTTACACCAGAATGGTTTATTAAAAGAATCAACGGTAATTGTTGTAATTGTGGTTGTCGGTTTGAGTTTGAAGTTAAAAATGGATATCTCACCAATACCATAACGGCACAACGAAAGGACAACGAGTTTTCACACCACATAGACAACTAGGCTTGGTGTGTCTATTGCAACTGCAGTGCAAAATAAAAATTAATTAGTTAGTTTTTATTTTACACTTTATTTCTTCATTGTAATTCTTAATTTTGGAAACTCCCTTTCAATTGTGTTTATTGCTTCTCTGTAAGTGGGCTTCCTCCACAGAAGATGATACGACCAGAACCCAGCCGTTTCATAATCTTTCCAATCTTGATTACCGCTTCCATGTCTGGCCACATAACTTTGTCTTCGTTTGTTGTCAAGGTGACCTTCTGTAAAATGGTCATAGCCTTTAGCACCAAATGATACAGTTTTTCTATTGTCTATTCTTGCATCAAATTTTTTATCTTTATTATTGCTTCTACTAATTACTATTTCTACCATTATTATTTACTTAGATTTTATTCTTCTACCTATTAAACACGGTTTCTTTGTACAGTTTCTGTAACTCTTTCAATTTGGCTTTCTTCAAAATTGGGTCTCCTTTGGAAGTAATCCACTCATTATACAAGCTACGGTATTTCCTATAGGTGACTGTATTTATGGCGTGTTTGTTATTTGCTTCTTCAAATGTTTCTCTTAACTTCTGTATTCCTATCTTACTAGGCATTATCAATGGTCGCCTGTTCAGTTCCTCTCGTGATACATTTTGGTCTTCCCTAGAACTTTCTTTTACGCTAGTTTTTTTAGTTAGTCTTGTTCGTTTTTCGGTGGGCTGATTTGGTCGTTCTTCTTCTGGCGTATCTTCTTGTCTTGCAGAACCTGCTGGAAATCTGAAGTTGCCACTTGATGATGATGAAGCACCACCTTCTTGAACATTCCTAGGTCTACCTCTTCTCCCCCTTGGTTCGTGTGTTGACTCTGGTTCGTCGTGAATGTTGACCGGTGGAAGTGCGAGTTGTTGAACTGCTGGTGGTAATGGTTGTTGCGTAGCGCCTACGTTGGGTTGATGGGGTTGTAAAACAATAGAAGGTGGTAACTGTGCTTGATTCCATGGGTTATTAACTGGTGTTCGGGGTGCTTCTAAATCAAGCAAGGGACGTTGTTGTGGTAAGACTCTTCTCATGACTGCATCACCTATACCGCTCAAAACTGGCTCTGCTAGTCCTCCAATTATGGATGTTGTAAGGTCTTGTCCCGTTGCTAGACCACCTGCAATATTTCTACCGACTCTCAATGTTCCCCTTCCTAATGTTCTTAATACGCCCTCACCCTGTTCTTGTTCTCTTTCTACTTGTTGTTGATGTGCTTGTGTAATGTCTTGTTGATTTGCTTGTCGTGCTTCTTCTGCTCTACTTAACACTCCATCTAATTCTGCTCTGGTGTAATTGGCGTCTTCGTCCAAATCAAAGAACCCATCACTACCACCCGCTACAGTTCTTCGGGGTGAGTTAATGTTTTCGTCAACTTCACGGTCTTCAAAAAGTGCTCTATGTGTTAAGCCGTTGTCGGTGGCATACTGTCTCATCATGTGGTCTCTCATTACCCTTTCTGAAATTCTGTTCTGTTCTACACGAAGTTTGTCTAAGTGGTCACTTCCATCAAAATACGAACCTTGATTACTCGCCTTATAAAAAACTGCATCACGGTTAGGTAAGGGTTTAAGCGCTTCCTCGTTGTCGTTTACCAGTTCCAAAACGTCTTCATATCTAGAACGTCTGTGAAATTCTATACTAGACTTTTTTAATACCATTATAACTTATATGTTTATTTAGAAAATTGCAGAACTTAATTTTTCCAATTGGTTGACTCTGTTCCGCATGTGCTCCAGTGAAGTCTCGGGAATCCTTGGATTGTGCATTTCCGATTTGAGTCTATTTATCTCCATCTCATAGTTTGACTTGTGTTGTCCCTCTAACAGTCTACGTTTCAATGCTAGACTCGCTACCCTCGCCTCGCGAGCGTCCATTTCCTTTTTTAGATTAAGTAAGTAATCAATATTAGGCTTGTGGAAGTTTAACTCCGATGCTTCATTGACAACTGGGTTGTCTAATGACTTTCTCTTGTGTTGTTTCTTTTGTTGTCTGAACTTGTATTTATTGTAAAGTACCATATCTATATATTATTTACCTAGATTTTTTGCTTTTTGGTTGAAACATTGCCTTTGACAACATGTTGGCTTTTTCTTGTCTTCTTTTAAGTATTTCTTGGTTCATAGTTCTCATTTGTAATTGAATGAGTTGCGCTTGAGTTAAATTGTCATAAGGATTCATATTTGGAGGCGGTGGTGGGGGCATTGACTTTGACACAGGCGGTGGTGCTTTAGCAACTTGTTCCACTTCTTCTACATGTTGGGTCTTTAATGGTACAGCCTTTACTTTTGGTTTCACGTTGTTCTTTCTAACAGGCTTGGTTGTTATGTCGCTCGGTTTACCTTCACATTTCTCAGGGTGAGAATACCTTAGCGTCTTCATTGAAAGTGTCTTGTGACAGTCATTGCACTCGGTTTTTTGTTTTGCTACCTCTGTGATTTTCACTCTGGTAGGTTTTGGAGGTTCTGACTTGGTTTCCTCGTTTGGTTCAGGTGTTAGTTTATCTTCGGTGCTTTTAGTCTCTTCTGTTTTAGGAGTTTCATCAACGGTTGCCATTTCATTGTTTTCTTCACTCATATATATAATATTCTATATATTTTCCATTTAATTTCAGTCCATATCGCGATTATGAAAGAGGAGACTAAATGTAATATGGACGTTGTTTAAATCTATAACGTTCCCCGCCCCATCCGTTATTCTGAATGTCAACCTTTTGATGTTTCTTTTGGATACATTTATATAATCATATTCTGTTATTCCATAACTGTCGCTAATAACCCCAGCAAAGGGAGCGTTTACAGGTATCTTTTTAATCACCGCGTTTGAAAATGCAGATGGACTGTGGAAATTATTATTTGATAACTCTGGACAGGAAATGTAAACATCAGGATAAGTCAATAAGTTAATGAAACCAGTTGTCCAAGGGGCAGACGAAGTGAATGCGTCACCAACTGTTGTAGTGAAACCTAACACATCGTTTATTGAGTTGAGGTTATTAATGTCAACGCTGTTAGAGAACGAACCAGCAACAGGTGGCACATCTGCATCAGTCAAGGGTATGAATACAACTTCGCTATAATTAGACGATATTATTATCTTATTTGTTAAGGTGTCGTATGTAGCAGAATATGAATCAGTCCGACCCCCACTGTCAAAGAAGGTGTTTAGTTGTGTTTGTATTGCTGTGGCTAGTTCTGGTGCGGTGTAGTTTCCTACGGGTATTTCTATTCTTCTGTATGTTATTCCTTGTGGTGTAGCTGGTGGCAATATTTGATGTCTAAAGTACAGGTTCTGGTTGTTTGTGTTGATGGAATACCAAGCATTAGGTATAGCCACCTCGTGCACTTGCATAATGGTATTTTCGGGTATTTCAAAGGTGTCCTGTAATTCTATTTTGAAATCCGACGTTGACCTACTGTCGGAAACTCTGTATTTGGAATTGACGTACACTTTTTTATAAGTTAATGGTCTAGAACTCATAATAATATATATTACTGACAAAATATTTTTTATAATCTTATTTATATAATGAAAATAGAACAACAGTTAAACAAGATGCTTGACGATAACAACAAGATTTCAAACTCGCAGGGCATTAAGATGGCTTACGATAAAGACAATAAAATTTATGTTAAGGGAAACAAGATGTATATCGGTGGAACGGTGAGTGCTACTAACTGGCTTGAAAATCTCACGAAGTTACCATTTGGTGTTTTGGGTGGAGTCCGTGATATGGAGAGATACTTACAAGCAGAACATGTGTTAAAAGATAATCCTCAAATAGACACAGTGGTGGGACATAGTCAGGCAGGGGTCGTAGCCTTACAGCTGGCGAAAGATTTTCCAGACAGGAATTTGAAGACACGAACCTATAACAGCCCCACCTTCAGTATGGGATTTAAGCCAAATACAGAACAACACAAAAGATTTAGAAAAGTTGGAGATGTCGTTAGTGCTTTTGATGGCGGTGCTGTAAATGTATATACAGACTCACTCAGTCCATTAAAAAATCATGACATGAGTGCATTTGATGGTATTGATGAGTCTTTACCAGCAGGCGAAGTATAAAAATATCAGTATAATTAATATGATGTTTAATAAACCAAAACATATAAAAGAACCTAATAGAGTAGGTAAGCCATCTGAGAGTCTACAATTCAAAACCAAGTTGAATAAAAAGTTGAGTCATTCAGGATATGAAACCATAAGAGAGATTGTTGAGAAACACGAAGAGACTACAATATTACCACCAAATGACAAGCAGAGTAAACATAATAAACGCTTGGATAGCCATAAAAGATATAGTAATAATAAAAAATCTAAATAATATATATAACATGGATTTAGTTTTAGCAGAATCAAACGATAATATGATTAACTCCCTTCAATTTGGACTTCCTGAATCAGCCGCGTATATCACTGATAGAAAACAAGTTCACTTCCCCAGTGTATCTGGAAACATCTTTAGTTCCTCAAATGGAAATAAATATTTAAAGTTTGTAATCACAGGCGAAGACAATAATTATATTGATTTATCCAGCGTTTGTTTGTTTTTTGATGTTGTTAACACATCCACCACTGCCGGACAATATTTACGCCCTTTAGGTGAGAGCCACGCTTTTTTCACAAGATACAGATGTAATGGGGCAGGACAACAGTTAAACGACATTGACAATTACAACCAAGTGTGCGAAGAAATGAAATCGTTCAAAAGCGAAGAAGTCAGAAATTTAGACGATATTCAAGAAGGTTGTCTGACAAGATATGACAGTAGAATTAATAGATTGTTTGCTTATAACATTGAAAGTCATAGTGCAACAGCAACAACAGGAGCAAATAATCGAGGCGTCGTTGTGCCAAAACTAACGCGAATTAATACTACCGGAATTGAACAGGGTAAGTTCGTAAGAATGGGACACAAGCCCGTTTGTGGATTTGTTCAATCTGGATATTATCCACCAATCAGATATTGTCCACTTGAATTTATTTTTGAAATTGTTTCAGATGCAGGCGAACCAGTCGTCCGACCTTCAGCAACAGTAGCAGGAACACAAGCAGAAGACGATGAAACCGGCTTATATTTTACAACGCGCAATACTACCACAAGTTGGGCTATTCAGAATGCTATTTTAAGATGTGAATTGATACAGGTGGACAATACCGTTAACAATAACATAGTTTCACATTTATTGAAAGGGGGTAGGCTTCGTATGGTTTATCCGGCTTATCATTCATTTTCACAAACCTTCACAGCAGGAAACACAGAAATTAATATGAATATCGTTAAATCTTCAACTCGTTTGTCTCAGATGTTCTTCACCTTCAGCAACAGTAATATTGATAATGATAGCACAGCAGGTAATTATGACAGGAAGAGGTGGAACTACTTTTTCCACCCTATGGCGGTAACTATTGATAATTTAGAAGGTGTCATTGATTCCGACAAACAAATTTCAGCACAAATACAGATAGCTAACAAAAAATTCCCCGAACAAGAAATTTCTAGCATTAGTGAATTTATGTATTTCCTTCGTCGGGCGGTTAATGTAATGAGCCCTTATTACGATGGCTTTTCAATTGACATTTATAGATACGCTAATGATAAATTTATTGGAGGAATTAACTTTGACAAGCAACCAGATATGAATTTTACAGGAACTAACACGAAAATGGGAAGCTTAATCACGTTTAAAATCAAAGGAGCTAACGCAAATTTTGCATTAGGAATTGAAAGAGTTTTCATAACAGCCGTGTCAGAACATATATTTGAGCTAAGTGAAAGTGCCTCAACAGTTCTTGACTAAGAAGTTTATGGAAAGATTAATTCAATATAAATATTAATTTCTCACGTATTAATATTTATAATGGCTTCATTAAACAATCTTACATCAATTTATGCAGACA